ATATACCAGACTACCCTATATCTAGTAAATGCTAGGGCATTCACAAAGGTACAGGATAGTTCTAGAAACCTGGCGTGACACTAGTCATGTGACCTCTGCTGACGCAACAATATTTTTCTGTCACTACTTTACTCGTTAAAACAAAGTTACCTGATATTGGCTACAGAAGAAAATTGCTATGACTCTTAAACATAGTTTAACACAACCATTTTCAGAAATGAAAAGAGTGTCTCAAGTAACTAAAATAACTTCCCAGGTCTATCGTTTGTTTGTAAATCTTTTGAACTTCCCATACTAAATTATTTTATTTTTTTCTGCATATATCTCTTCCGATGAAACCATAAATTACTTCTTAGACAATTTTATTCACATTACATTGACATAAATAGTTTATAATCTGCTCTTTCCATTCATATTCAAACTTTTTTTATAACTATATCAAAAGGTGTTTTTCATTAATAATTGGTCCCACTTTTTGACAATCTCAGAGCATATGATGTGACTAGAGTCCCATAATACTAAATTGTAAGATGGAGAAGGAAAGTCACAAGAGAAAAGAGGCTGGGGTAATTTTTTTTTCTCAAGATATAATAATTTCTCAGCACAAAAAGACTTGTGTTTTAGGATGGCCCTCAAAATTCTAAAAACAAATCTAAGTGAATTACTTACAAGTGAGACAACTCAGAGCTATGCAGAACCATTTTCTTTGTCAATCATGCTAAATAAGTGTTATAGAATGACAAAATATCAGTTTAAAATACTTGGAGTAAACAATAGTTGAGATATGGTTAGGATTATTATACTTACTATATTTTAAAATTAAGTATACAGGTTTTCACTTGACACCTGAAAGGGGCTTACTGATTCAGTAAAGGTTAATATGTATTGTACTTTTAGTAATTGTTTTAATTCCAACAAAGTTTTCTTAAAACTGAACATAGTTTTTCAGTAAAGTGATCTTAAGTGTTTCCTGATTACCTAATTTTTTAATATAAAATTTTTCAAAGGCATTCTGAAAACTGGATATGGTGTTGTTGTTATACTTTTGTGTAGAAAGGTGATGTGCTAAGAATATGTGCAATTGTTTAATATCTAAAAGATGTGTATGACTGCTTGTATTTATTAAAGGACATTCTGGAACGTGCCATGATAAACTTGTATGTGGGACGAGAAATCACAGAACCTGGCAGTTATATTCACGAGTTTCCCTATCCGTGTTTCATACAAGATCAGTAAGTGAACTTGGTGTTAAGCATCTATCTATAGTGTTTGTTTCTTAAACACTGTTACATCTAAAATATTTAGAAACTTATAGAATATATTTATAAACAAGCTGATATACCTGTCCTTTGTCCGGGTTACAAAAATGTGTGTGTGGGGGGGGGGGGGGCTTGATGCTATGATAAATAAAACAAAAATCCTAATTTTCACACAATTTATTTAAAATAACATATTACACTATTTATTACTGCCTCACTAAAAGTTTTCTATAAGCTTTAAGAACTCAGTATGTATATACTTAAAACAGGTTATACACTGTGTGTTGGTCAGTGTGATTTTGTAGGAAGAGGTAGTGGCCAAAGTGGTGGTGGTAGGGGTGCTTTTTGTTACCCAGCTCTTAATGTCTTTCCACAGTGTTTCACATGATTACTTAATAGATATTTATTAGCTGCAGAAATGTCTTATGGGCCGAGGTTGAAAGGTCACGGGTCAAAGTAGGAAGTTGGTATAACTCAAGAAACGGCTCTTCATAGCAGCCTTATAGTGGCTATTGGAGTACAAACTACAGTTTAATTTATGAAGTATTGCAATAGTGGTGGACATTTTTTTTCATTGCATTCCTCCTTAAGAGAGTGCTGTTGCACTCTTTTTATTATATAGGACCTTTTTATGCCCTTCCCCTCACTGATTGTATGTTGTCTTATAGAAAATTTAATAAAGTTTTTTTTTTCTTTTAGTGTAAAGATGTGGCACCATCTATGAATGTAGTGAATGTTAACTTACATCAAATATAATAAATTCTCAATAGCAGCAATAATGGAGAGTGGAGGGGGTTGTGAACCCCCAATTAACATGCCTCTTGTTCCAAACTATCATCTCACAACATTTGATTGAGATTAGTCCAGCAACATAGGTGTAGTTAGATAATAGTCAAATAGACTGCCACACAGATTTTTGTGTGTTATATAGACATATTATTATAGTACTCAATTTTTGAACTCACCAGAAGTTTAGTATTAAGCTTTAAGAACTCTATGTATATACTTAAAACATGGTATACATTGTGTGATGGGCAGAGTGACTTTGTAGGAAGAAGTAATGGCTAAAGTAGTAGCAGTAGGGATGCTTTCTGTTACTCTTATTGTGGTAGGTATTTTGGTTTAGAACCAGGAGTGGTCAGAAATTTACATTTCTCTTTGCCCCACTCTTGACTGATTGATTTTATGTCAATGTTGGATATAATCAAAGTTGTTCTTAAGGGACTGTCTGGGAATAGATATTCCTGAATTGCCACCACAGGCTGAGTGGGAAAACCATGAGAGTAGACCGGAAAGGTTGTTCACTTGTCAGCTTCAAGACGCGATGCAACCCATCTAGCACACTATAATTTGGCTAGTACATGCAGCTAAAGAAAATCAGAGCAGGCATGCCCAACTCACCAGGAGGGCCTTGCACTCCGCACAAAAAGGGACCAAGATGGGAACTTTTATTTATAACAATTAGACAGTTAACATAACTATACATCATTGACAAACAAAATTTATTCTGTTACCTGCTTTCAACACCCAACTCTTAATGTCCTTCCACAGTGTATCACGTGATTAATTAATTAACAGTAATTTGCTGCAAAAGTACATTACGGGCCAAAGTTGAAAGGTCGCATGTTAAAGTAGGAAGTGGGTATAACTCAAGAAATGGCTCTTCATATCAGTCTTATGGTGGCTGTTGGAGTAGAAACTTCAGCTGAGTTTATGTATTCTTGCAATAGTGCTGGCAATTTTTTCATTGCATTTCTACACGGGGCCCTGGCATGGCCAGGTGGTTAGGGTGCTCAACCCACAATCTGAGGGTCTCGGGTTCGATTCCCCGTCCCACCAAACATGCTCGCCCTTTCAACCGTGGGGGCATTATAAAGTGACGCTCATTCCCAATGTTCATTGGTAAAAGAGTAGCCCAAGAGTTGGCGGTGGGTGGTGATGACTAGCTGCCTTCCCTCTAGTCTTACACTGCTAAATTAGGGACGGCTAGCGCAGATAGCCCTCGTGTAGCTTTGCGCGAAATTCCAAAACAAACAAACAAGCTGCCTTCCCTCTAGTCTTACACTACTAAATTAGGGACAGCTAGCACAAATAGCCCTCGTGTAGCTTTGCGTGAAATCCAAAACAAGCAAACAAGCATTCCTACACAGACAGTGCTAGTGCACACACTGATAAGACATTTGTGTGCTTTCCCCCTACACTGTACATTTGTGTTATATTAAATTTAATTTTAAAAATTTATGTAAGGACGTGGCGCCACCTATAATGTAGTTGACGTTAATTTACATTAACGATAAAATAGTTAATGGACAAACAGACAGACACACAATTTTTTTTTTGTTCTATATATATTTACACATAACATACTTTTCATGTGAGACAAAGTACAATATGGAAAACATAAACAAACATACACACTAATGGCACCATAAAAATTAAAACAAAATTCTTAACATAAAGCTATGTACATGTAGTTGAACAAAGATAATATTTGTTATTTTAAAAAAATACTATTTTTAAATATGGCTCTTCTCTGTAAGTTATACATAACATTTTCCTAGCACATCATGGTAGGACACAGTCACTCTCTGAATTTCTGAAAAAGCAAGCTGAAAGCTTTTTTTTTAATTTTAGACTTAGGAAGTTACAAATAATTGAATGACATGTTAAATTGATATTAATATGAATATATATATACAGTATATATATATATACATATACATACATACATATTTGTTATTTAACTTTCTCTATAAGCATATTTTTCTGTGCATGTAATGAGTTACATTCATGATAAAGTAAGTAATAGTCCAAATTTTAATATTATATAACTTAAGTTCATAACTTTATATGGCAATATTTAAAAAAAAATCCTGGATTTCCCCTAGTATGTGAATTGTGACATTTTCTCTCTAGGCATCCCCTCTTCAATAATTTATTTACCACCCCTCCGAGAAGTACATAATTTAATGTAAATTGCTCTTTATAATGTTGCCGTTGCTCAGGCAAGGCATAATTTTTATAGCCTTCAATCTTATTTAGTTACACAACAATAAAATAGAAAATCAGACTCTTCTTGCCATGCCTACCTGTCACTCACATCCTCTCTTTCGGAAATTGCCAATAGCTCTCTCTGACATTGAATACTATATTATTTATGAGTAATAGAAAGCCAAGGTTGTAAACAATCAAATTACATATTATATATATTGTTTTCTGTACAAAGAATTGTCTATTTCTCTTCCAGTTGAAACCTTATAACCCATGGGAAGCACATCGATGAGCTTAGCTAAATTTTTAACTGCTGTTATTGCATAGTTGGAGAGCCAGAAAAATTGTGGTAGTTATGGAACATTGTCTGCTTATCGTATATGATTAGTCTGTATTCTTTGGTGCATTGCTTGATCCTCTGTTTGTCATGTGGGGTCATTATGATGATCCCATGCAATTTCTTTAATTAATTATTATTTGATAGATGGCACTTTACCTAGCCTCACCCACAGTAACTTTCTTAAGTGTGTGTCTGTTCATGTTGCAGTCTTCATCAGTGTTCTGCAGTTGTATGTTTTTGCAAAGTTTTAGATTGGGATCATATTTACCACATGTGATTACTTGGGCTATAATTATTTGCAAGGTCAGTTTGTTATCCGGTGATTTTAATTTGATTAATTGTGTTTTTCTTAGTTTATGGTTAAAATATGCCTTTTTTATTCTGTATTTCTTCTTTTCTGCCATTTCTCTGTTTATTCGATTTTTTAGATGATATCTAATTACTTCTTGTACATCTTCATATTGCCATATTGGCTTTTGTTTTATACAGGTGGCTAGAAAAGGACTCACTGCCACTGCAATACATTTTAATATCATAAGCCATATTCAAAGGTTTTCATTATTCTATTTTGTTAACAAATAAAGGTTTGTATAAAAAACTATTATAAGTGTTTGAGCTTCATAATAATTTGAATATCTCATTGAGCTCATAATGATTCCAGGTGACCACATATGTTTCGTTTTATCATGCGACTAATTGAGGGTTAATAAAATATTTTAGTACAGTAGTACTATTAGTGTGTGTTTGTGTATAAATTGGCCAACCTCATATATAGTTATGGTAGCAAAAATAACAGATCAAATAAAAAGTTTCACTGGAAAAAACGTTTGAAATTTACTTAGAAAGTTTTAGAGATTATGCAAATGAAATTTGAGATTTTTAAGAGGAAGAAAAGTTTTTTTGTTTTTTTATCTGAAAATCACTTTGCACTTGGTGCAGTCAACACTTCGACTCCATATATTCATGGAAAAAGTTTTTGTGAAAATACTCCATTACAATTTCTGATTGCACTTAATAATTACTGAAAGCGTACAAAATTTTGTAAAGATACACAAAACATATTAGAAGTTATATTATGTAAACTATAAACGTCACTTTGGGGTCAAGAACGTGGTCAATTGAACTGAATCTGTAGCGAGAGAGTTAAGTACTTTATTTAAGTTTTTTGTTGTTGAGGTGTATTTCTTCAGTAAAATTAGTTAGGACTTTAAGTATCACATTATAATTCCTGATAATGCTTCTGTTCCATAGATTTCTCTTCATGATTGAACACGTGATGCCATTCTGTTTAATCATATCTTGGGTGTATTCAGTTGCCATGCTAGTACAAAATATTGTCTATGAGAAGGAAAAGAGACTAAAAGAGGTGGGAATTCTTTTTGTGTTTGAGCTCTGTTTTTAAACACACTGTAATGTTGAACACCTATATTATTACCAAGATAAACATTTCATTATAAGTATTTTACCTACTGTATATGGCAAAGATGTCTAAACAAAAATGGTTTGTTTTGTTGTTAACACAGAGGACTATCTGGGCTCAGCCTACCGCACGTATCAAAACCTGAATTTTTAATGTTTGAAGACTCAGTCTTACTGCTGAGCCACTGTAGAGCATAAAATGTGTTTGGATTACCAGAGTTCTTAAAGTAAGAATTTCAATTAAATATTTTATGTAAAATTTTGTAAATGTAAAAAAAATGCACATTATATGAAAACTGCTAAGATTTAAATGCTCAAGAATCCTTTATCAATCAATACTTGTTCCCACGTTGGGTTAGCAGTAAGTTTAGAAGCTTACAATGCTAAAAACTATGGTTTGATTTCCTCCAGTGGACAGAGTGCATATAGCCCATTTGATATAAAAATTTCATTTCACACAATAATGTAAATTTTAACAAGCAAGCCAATGATAAAACAAAACTGAAAAATCTAGATTGTTTTTGTTACTGTATTTTCTAACTGCTTAGAAACTGTGACCAATTTGTATGCAGATAGGTCTAGCAGTTTAAGTTAGGAATATATCTAGCATTCTTTTAATGGAAGAGTGGTGCTATAGCCCCTTCAGGGGTGTGTGAGACAAACATTCTCTTATCCATGAGGTATTAACATCTAACAGTGTATTTCAAATAATACTTGTTATAATTTTCAAACAGAACAATATATTTAGCAATACAGTAATTTTTGTACTGAAAAATAAAAGGACTTATGAATTTTTAAACTGGTTTAGGTTAAATATATTGTTATAAAGTACTGTAATATGTAATGTATTTTATGCATTAACCTTGCACAAAGAATTAAATCATTGTTCACAGTTTTATTTTTAAAAAAACATTCTTTGGTACTTTGCTACAAAAATCTTTTATAGCATCAAAGCCTCATCTTTGTTTTTCCTTATTCTTCTCAAGAAATGAATTTGTACAAATAATTATTGAATGACATGGAAGAAATTATAAACTTGCATTTATATTAATTAACAAGAAAAAAGCGTAAAGAAAAATAGAATGAAAAGATCTAAAATATTGTTTAGAAGATGTAATTGGATAGTGATCCATTTTTCAGGTTATGAAGACAATGGGTTTGAACAATGCAGTCCATTGGCTGGCCTGGTTTATAACGAGCTTCTTACAGATGAGTGTTACAGTCATAATTCTCACCATAATACTGAAATGTGGACATGTTCTAACATATTCAAATCCCTTTCTCATCTTTCTAACATTGGAGATATTTGTAATTGCAAACATTATGTTTTCGTAAGTACTCTTGTTCCTTCATAGCCTTGTTCAACATGTAAAAAAAGTTGTTTGTGTGTGAATTTTATTCTCGTGGCTTAACTCTTTTTTTGTTTTTAATATTTAATCATAACTGTTATATATGTACTGTTAATATTTCCTGCTTTTTATAAATTTTATTTTTAAACAAGAATTTATTATCACAGCCATTAAGCTCATTTATTCTATATTTTAATTTATTTAGTTATATTATGCTAATAAAACTTAGTATTATATTTTTAGTGTGTGTTTTGTCATGAATAGTAAATTTTCTGTGTGATAACCATTTCTTCATATTCACATAGGTGCTAAATAAACAAAACAATTTGGAGTTCAATATTGTAATACTGTATTAACAAGTTAGTATAATTTTGTTACACTGGAGTAAATCATGCAGAGGAAGAAATTTAAGTCATATTAAGAAAAATATGAAATTAACAAACATCAAGAACTGTGTTACATAATAAGTTCAGAAAACATAAACTTAACACACCATTTTCCTTTATTTGAGATATGAGTAACGTATAAGTTCATTTAGACTTGGAAATACAATGGCTTAAGTTCACTCCTCTTAATAAAGCTCTAAAGTGAAATGTTGGAAGCTAAAGATAGTATTCCACGGAGATATAAAGTCTTGTTTATTGCTTTACTTGTGTACCAACTACATTCCAGGTTGCATTTTATCAATTAAATAAAATATTTGGATTAGTAAGATGCATTAATGCACTAAATATTTAAAGATTATCAAATGTATTTCTTTATCAATACAAATAAACAAATTAATAGACATTTGGATGAAGAAAACAATAAGCATGTTGAACTTTAAAAAAATGTCACTGTTGTATCTGATGGTAGAGCTAATAGTATTAATCTTCACCAGGTTTTTTGTCAGTGTGCTGTACTCTAAAGCCAAACTAGCAGCAGCCTGTGCTGGTATTATTTATCTCTTGACGTACGTCCCTTACATGTACATAGCAGTTCGGGAAGAAGCAGCTCACGAACACGTTCCAGCATGGATTAAGAGTTTGGCAGTATGTATAGAGTTTCTTTATCATTTATCCTTAAGGATTGAGTAATATAAGCTGGAATTATGGTTCCTAAAATGAATGCTTAAAATATTGTGGAACACGCATACAAGTAATGAAGTTGTTCTAAAGAAGGCCAAGACAAAACGAATGTTGTGGGAAAATTTAAACAAAGAGACAACGGAGTTTTATAGGACTTATCATGAGAAAAGGAAAGATTGAAAACTTCATCATGACTGGAAAATTCCCAGGAATAAAAAGTAAAGGAAGACAAAAACAGATTCTGCCATCAACAATTGCCATATAACTAGGAATTACCACTATAGAAATGATAAGAAGCAACGGGAGAATGGAGTCAGTGGAAGACCATTCTCACCAATGCTGTAGGTGGGCTAGTTACCTTAAGAGAGAGAGAATATAAGCTTGGCTTACCTAGAGAACTACTTCATTCTGACATATTTAATGCTGTGCTATATCAAACAAAATCTAGTATTCATATTATATATAAATAACTTGGAAGATTCTAAGTGCTGTGCTATATCAGACAGAATCTAGTAATCATATTATATATAAATAACTGGAAGATTCTAAGTGCTGTGCTATATCAGACAAAATCTAGTATTCATATTATATATAAATAACTGGAAGATTATAAGTGCTGTGCTATATCAGACAGAATCTAGTATTCATGTTTTATATAAATAATTGGAAGATTCTAAGTGCTGTTCTATTAGTTTTGTAACTTTGTTATAAATATGGTGAGTTATGGATTAATAGTTTTGCACTAAAACTTGTTTGGTAGCCTTCTTAAGTACAAATTGAAAATAGTGATAATGGTGATATTTTTATAATATGTTTGATTTCACAAACATAGAATATAATTTCAAAGATAGGAAACAAGAAATTGAATATATTTATGGTTGTTTAAAATCTAGTTCTTTCAGTTTCGTACAAACAAAATTAAGTACAATCTTAAACAAGCAAAGCAAAAATCAGTCAAACAACTAAATATGTTTCTTGAAAAATACAATAAACTTTATAGTAAAAAAGAATATATGTTGTATAAATGCATCTGAGTGCCTTAAGTTAATATAAAATATCTCATGGTCATTGGTTTAGGCCATTCTGTGCTTGACCATGCCAATGATGTTTATTAATGTCTATAAACTAAATTCATCATCAGTATATTGTGTTTTAAGGATTACTGATCTTGTAAAATAGATGTAATAATTCTTCATAATTTCTTTATTTCGAAGTGTTTTCATTACTCTTTGAATAAAGGTCACTAAAGATGATATTCTTGTAAGCTGAAATTTATTTGAATTACAAGGCTTTCTGATATATTATAACTTAAAGTGCTGCGAAGTGGTGCTATGGTTTGGCTTAGCATTAAAAAAAACATTACTTAACTATTTTCTTAAGAAATTTTTGATCAAACTTCTGACCCTTTCAAGTTTTGCAGATCTTGTTCAGATACTGTCTCATAGTTTATGTACATTTTTTGTGGTTACAGATGTTATGTATCATTCAGCCTACAGTATTGTTGATTTAACAACTTTTGTAAATTAATTTTTATTTCATAATTAAAAGGGCTGGATTACCCTAGTGGTTAGCATATCAATCTGCAGAGTGAAGGGTCTGGGGTTCAAGATGTGATGTTGCAGTTTTAGCTATGGGTGCCTTTTGGAAGTGACAACAGTGAATCCCATTATTTGGTTTAAGTAGCTGGACAAAGCCCTTGGGGTGGTGGGTGTTGTTGGTAGGCTGCTTTCCTCCTGGTTAGTATTTCTATGTTGGGAATGGATATACTTGAGCTATTTAGTCCATGTGCAAAGGTCCCATTAAGGTTGAAAATTTCATAGTTAAAAGTCTTTTCTGTCAGAATAGTTTTCTAAGACCACGTTTTTTACAGTAATTTGGTGTTCAGTTTATATTTGGATGTATATAATCAAAGGTAATGATTGGTTTGAATCTTTATTTAGTATTGAATTTTCTGACTCAACTCTCTGTCTGTGTAGAGCCTCTTATCAACCACAGCATTTGGACTAGGGGCCAAGTATTTTGCTTTCTATGAAGAAATTGGTGTTGGTGTGCAGTGGAGTAACATGGCTGTGTCTCCGATGGAAGATGATGACTTCAGCCTATGGAATGTTGTCATTATGATGTTGATGGATACATTTACCTATGCTGTTCTTGTGTGGTACATTGAAAATGTCCATCCAGGTAAGAATGTCATTCCATCAAACATGTTCCTCAAGGTAAAATTTTTGTCTTTGCTATTACATTGGCCATATTTTCAAAATGTATTTTTAGTGCACTAAAAATTATCTTATTAACTCTCTCAACCTGGGCTTGGTCCCTGGGACCAACCTCATAACCAATTTGTGCTTGTTATAGTTTTCATGGTATAACTTTTAAATCAGTAAGCGAATGTTAATGAAATTTGGCAGTTTATCAGTAAATATTACAATGCTTTCATATGCAAAATATAAAATTTTTTTGTTAAGTCTTAAGGTTTGTAAAGCAAAGTTTTTCTCATGCCTTTTTTTTTTCTTTTCAAATCTTGCCTATCTATCATGCAAAGTAATTTTCATTTTAAGATTAAAAATACTTTTATGCATCAGAAAATTTTGAAATTTCACATGCAGAATCTTTATAATGTCCGGATAGTTATCAAACGTTTCTTAAGAAAAACCTTTATATTTTATTTCGTATTTTCAATGATTAATCTCTGTACGGGTTTGGTAAATTTGGCAATTTGACTGATCTCGCAACCACCAAAACAAATTAGGAAATAAACATAAATTATGCCTCTTTCATTCTAGAATAAACACAAATTATAACACGAAAACATAAGTGTTTAGACGAAATAGCTTTAATCTCATAACATTATACATTTATATATATTTATTATTTTTTATTATATTGACCTTTTACCAATGCCTGGCTAAAAATACAGAAGTTACAATGACGTGGTTCACGTGCACTCATGTTACCTTATCATATAACATAAAGGTGACCTTTGGCCTGTACAAAGTAACTTGTCTTTGCTGTGTTTTAGACCAGTATTATTTTGTAAAATACAGTCACATTTCAATTATTATATTCCTGAAATATAGAATAGTAAACAAAGAAGTAAAGCAAACAATTATCTCTTCTCGTTATGACTTTTGTACTCGGTTGCTGCTTGTCGTAGGTTACTAAGTCTATAAAAATTTTGCACGTGGACAATATGAAACAAAACATTTTTTTAGGTTTTATGCATACTTTTGAATAACTAAAAAAGTCAAAAATTACTACATCAATACTATAGAATTCTACTATAATTTGTCAAACGTAGTAACTAAGCTGTATTTGGGTCTAAAAAAATATGAAATTTTGAGCAGATTAAAGACATAACCTACCTCATTGAAATCTTGGTTCAAAAGAAGGAAATGGTGCTAGGTACATTAGAAATGCTGAAAACATCACTAGGGAACATTCTAAGCTTCCGATTGGTTATTTATGTCATATATAGAAGTAAGTGTATATAAGGGAGCATTTCCAAAAATGGAAAGAGGTGAGCGGGGTTCCACTGTGTTTGATTTATTATGTGAGAAATATCTTAGGAAATAGAAAAGATAAAAGGTTCTTATTTTATATTCTTGCTTGTCAATATCTATAATTTGAGTTTCTAATTCGTATTAAACTATAGACTTAGTATTTTGACTTCACAAACATCTAATTTGAACCAGTGCTGCATTTAACATACCACGTGACACACAAAAATTGATGTTTATCTGTTTTTTTAATATTTACTTTTAAATTTACAAATTGAGTAATGTATAGTTCTAAAATTTGAATTATAATCAACAGTTTGATACCAAACTTATTGACATAAATTTATGAAATGGTAGTTCAATAAAATTTTGAATGTGAGTCAACAAACGAGATTACATGGTCTTTCACCTGTGACCAATCTCAAAAGGGTTAAAGGTCTTCATTTTTTGTAAGAACTATGTCAATTTTTTTAATAATGATACTTTTTATCTAAGTTTCTTGTGACAGACTATGCAAAATGTATATTCTGCCATTAAAGATATTCACATTAGATTTGTTGCTTATACATAAATAGTTTTTAATTGTTATTTTCACTCGAATTTTGGTGAATCTAACATCTTAGCCTAATTACTGAGAATATATGCAAGTGGTAGTTAAGTTTTTATTTGTAACTGAAAAACTTTCTTGTCAAGTTGTTTATGGTAATCTATTGTTGGCATATACTCCAACCTAATAAAGTTGCTACAATTTTTGTCCTACATTGTTTTAACTAGTATGATAATACTCAGTTTTGTCTTTCCTGAAAATGTGCACACACCTAGTTATCTAAATGCACATGCATGCACACTTTATTTCAATGCTGAAAATATTAAAATTTTATCAAAGTTTTCGAAAAGGTCTAACAAAGGTCATAGAATAACATTATAAGTTTATCTACTGATAGTGTTAAGTACGTTGAAGTTTAGCCCTAACTAATTTACAGGAAAAAATCTATACAAGTTACAGTATTAATTTATTTCTTTATAGAATATGAGCCATACTTAATAAATGCTTAACTAATGTTAGGTCTAAGACAAGTGGACTTGTAGATTTTAGTGTATGCAATTAGAATTCTTCTGTATTATTAGAGAAATCATGTATTTGAAGAATTACTGTTCCAATAAAGATACTAATTTGACTGCAAATCTTTTGTGGGACTCTGTTAGTGGTAAAATATTCTCTAGTTTTAAATAATCACAGAGTACTTGCCATATCAGGTTAAATTTGAACACAAATGTAATCTAGAACTAATCTAGACCAAATATGTGAATAAATACTGTTGTAAATACAAGAGCAAGGGGAAAAAAAAAGAAAAAGCTGTCAGCTTTTGAACTTGCTTAAATTTAAAAATGACATTTACTTTAAAGTTTTTTTTTTCATTTTCATCTATATATATATATATATATATATATAGTAGGTACGTTAGTTACGTTAACCTAAACGTTACGTTACCTTTACCCTTACTAACTAAGTACGTACTACGTGTCGTTCGGTTTAACCGTAAACGTAACGTA